GAGCCTCAAGTGCTGGCGCGGCCCGCAGGGAACTGCTTTGACTCTGCGCCGCCCGCTCCTTGCGCACAGCCCACGACACCTCCCGCTGGAGATCCGCCATCGTCACAGGCGGACGATACCTCCCGCCACCACCTCGACCGTAGGGGCCCCTCCAGCCCCCATTGCCACCAAGGGGGGCAGGCCACTGTGCCTGCTGCTGGTAGCGCTGGGGAGAATTGCGCCGGCGCCGCGACGTCTCGCGCTCCTGTTGGGGCGCAGGAGAATGGGGGCGGGACTGGCGGCGGTCCGGCGGGGGGGGGCGAGACGACTGCACCCCAGGGGCCGCCGGCGGCTGAGCGGGAGCTACCGGGTCGGCGCCAGGAGGAGCATCCATCGGAGCAGGGTCGTCAGTGGTGGCGGACGCCGCCTTTGGGGAAGAAGCAGACACAGGCACAGGCACGCCGGGGACCGAAGCAGACGGCACAACGAGTGCGCAAACAACGGGACCGGAGCGAGCAGCTGCTTCCCCAGCAGGCGCGGACACCACCGGTGGAACCGCAGGAGCCAGGTGCGCTGGAGCAGGAGCAGCAGACGGGACAGGCGGAGCCCCAGCAGGAGCAGACGGGCCAGCCGCCCCCCCCCCCTGGGGAGCCACGGGTGCGGGGGGATGAATCTTTTCAGCGTCTGCTAACGAGGGCTTCTGAGCCGGCGGTAGAGGAGGTTTCAAGGCAGTGGTCGCCCTTTCGGGCTCCGACTGAGGCCTGGCGACGACAGCCGACCAGGCGGCAGCGAGCTCTGGCGACGGCTCGTCAGCACCAGGAATCACCATCTCAAGCGCGGGGAAGTCGAGGGACGGAACGGCAAACGGCAAGCGGGGTTGGCGGAGGCCCGGAGAATGGTTACCAGGCAGCGGCTAGAGTGGCTTTAACCAATTTGACTACAGCGAATGATGAAGACGAGCGGCAGGATCCCTCTTATATAGAAGAGGCAGCACCAGCTAGCGAGGGCGAAGAGACGGAGGAAGAGGAAGGCAGGGCGAGAAGGAACACTGGCGGATTGACTGTAGTGGGGGAGCAAGCACGCTTGGACACGCCCCAGGAGACACGCCCACCGCTCGATGCAGAACGGACGGAGGGGATTCCAACCTCCGCTCCCAGGGCACGAGGGAATCGCCCAAGAGGAAATCGGCCAGCAGACATTGGGACTGCAACACGCCCAGCCGCTTCGGTCCCCCGCTATTTTTCGCCAGACGACCTCGCGAAGCGGGCAGACCTGTTCGCTGCAATCAGTACTTGGGATATCACGGCCCTGTGCGTCAGTCGCTAGCCTTCACTGTCGCGGCGCTTACCGCCGAATTTGTGTCAGCTGTTCTCACTGGCGATGCTGACGCCGTTACTACACCTCTCACGAAACCCCGAGTCAGAGGCAGGATGGCGCCTGCTGCTATTTCTCCCGCGCCTAACCCTTCGCCAGACCTCGCCTCGCCGTCCGGATTGGACCAAAATCAAAGCTCGTCTCCGAGCCTTCCAGCGTGGCGAATGGGAGCAATTGTACCAGGACGCGGTCGACGCGGTCAACATGCCACCTCTGCCCCGCCACCGTCCCGACGCGACAGGTGTGATCAGCCGGGCTGAGTGTCTAGCGAAACGTGGCAGCCTTCGAAGGGCCGTACTCGCCCTTGAGTCAACCCCTGTCTGCACTCCCAGCCCCGAAATTTTGGAGGAGCTGCGTCAGAAACACCCTCCAGCAGCGAGCGAAGGGGTGACTTGGCCAACCACGAGTGAGTCAACACTTTCAATTGCCCACGCGGAATTCGCCAAGATGTTGGGCAGATGCGAAAATGGAGTTGGAGCGGGGCCCTCTGGGATGACATTTGAGCATTTGCGCGACGCGTCAATCACAAACGCGTCGGTCCGAACCCATCTGTACGCCTTGGTTAACACCATCCTGGGTGGAAATCTGCCAGGCCCGGTGGCGACCCTCTTAACCGCATCGCGGCTTATTGCTCTGGCCAAGCCGGGAGGAGGCGCTCGGCCAATCGCGATCGGCGAGTGTTTGACCAGGCTGGCAGCCAAGGCTGCCCTGATGGTGATGGGCGAAGCTGCCCGCGATTTCTTCCTCCCCCTTCAGTATGGGGTGGCAGTGCCAGGTGGCGCCGAAACCGTAATCCACGCGGCCAGAGCCTTCCTGGATTCCCACCCTAACAGCCTGGTATTGCAAGCGGACATCAAAAACGCTTTCAACAGTATTTCGCGACAGGCCATCGCCACTGCGTTACACGCCCCCGAACTCTCGCCACTGCTGCCGCTCGTCAAACTAACCTACGGTAACCCGTCGCAGCTGTTCCTGGATTCCAACTACAACTCCGAACCACTGCACAGCGAACGCGGGGTTCGCCAGGGGGACCCACTTGGGCCGCTACTGTTTGCAGCGGGGATTCATGCTACACTACGCGACACTGCAGATGCTCACGCTGGGGTACTTTGCTTGGCGTATGCGGACGACGTGACTTTCATAGGGGACTTTGAAGACACTGTAGCAGCATTTACACATTTCACGAGCAAGCTGTCGTTCCTGGGACTTGAGCACAACCCACACAAGTGCGCCGCCTGGAATTCGAGCGCAGTCCAAGCAGCACACCTACCTCAAGGGGTCCCCCTAACCAAGGACGGCGTGCAATTACTGGGCAGCTTCATAGGGCCTGATAGCGGCGCGACGACTTTTCTAACAAGGCAGCTTGACGAGATGGCGAAGCCGCTAAGACTCATCGAACAGACAGACCCACAGGTTGCGGCACTTCTCATCACTCGCTGCATTTCGAGACGGGTCGCATACCTCACACGGACCACTCCTCTCAACCTCCTGCCCCGTGACAGATGGAGCCAGTGGGGTATGGACCTGCTCACCACGCTCCTCATTGCTTGTGACATCCGCACGCCGACCTGTAGGACGGAACAGACGCGCATCTGGGAGCAGGCGTCGTTACCCCCATCACTAGGAGGCCTCGGTATCACTAATCCCCTCGTCGAAGGGGTTTACGGCTTCTCGGCGAGTTTTACCCAGGCAGCGTTATTCCTCAACGAACTCACGCTGGAAGAGGGGACCGCGCTCTCGTTGGCAAGGAATCATATGCTCCTCCCGCGTGACGTCAGCACTCCACTACACACATGGCTGAGGGGGTGTGAAGCCGCACTGCCAACAGACGCGCTGGAGGTTTTAGAGAAGGAGCGGCTGGAGCGTTCTGACATTCGGCTCCAGCACGTGCTCGGACTGAAGGTGCATGGGAGCCGGTATGCCGTACAGGTGCAGGCAACGAGGCGAATGGAGTTGAACCCGCTAGCCGGACACACACAGAGGATGTACTCCATGACTGGATATGGCACCGGCGAGTGGATTACGGCCATCCCAGTGGCTCCCACAAGGCGGATTGGGCCGGTGCATTTCGCCAATGCAGTACGCTTCCGCCTCGCGCTGCCGTTTTCCACCCCTAAAAACTGCGACTGCTCAGAGCACACGGCCATCACTGACCCCCGGCTCCCAAACCACCTTCTCCGGTGCGGCACGGGCAAGCACCGCACTAACACCCACAATGAGCTGCGGGACGCATGCGTAAGCATGGCGCAAGATGCGGGCTTTATAGTACACAGGGAGTCAACGGCCTACTGCCCCATCGAGGAACAAACGGCTGATTTCACAATGTCGGACAGAAGCAGTGGAGCGGTTTACATCTGTGACGTCACGGTCACTGACCCAATAAGCACTAGGGATCCGGAGGCTCAGAAAGGCAGAGGGTGGGCGGCACGTGAGCAGGCCGACAAGAAGATCAAGCACTATGCCAACCGCCCGGAGACCGTTGGCTTCTTCCCCCTCGCAGTGGACACTTACGGCTGCCCGTGCGCTGAGGTTCCCGTATTCCTTAAGCTCCTGGCAGACTCGGCGGCTCGACGGCACTTCAACGCCGACTCCAAATCTTTCTATGCCGCCAAGTTCTTGCATCAGTTCCGGCAGCGTTGGTCCGTGGCCCTTCAACGGGCCCAATCCGTGGGGCTTCTGTTGAAATTGGGTGAGGCTGCAGCAGCAGAGAATCCTCCTGTGGGGGGCATCGGGCATGAACTGCACCTGGGGGACTGTTTTGCGGTGGTGGAACCACTCCTGGAGATTTAGAGTGGGGTAGCAGGGTGGCAGCAGAGGTAGCCTAGGTGATGTTGCATCGTGTTTCATGTTGCTTGCTTTCTACCTTGCATGTGTGTACCATCCGGCTCTATCAATACAAGGACCATTAGAGAGAGAGAGAGAGAGAGAGAGAGAGAGAGAGAGAGAGAGAGAGAGAGAGAGAGAGAGAGAGAGAGAGAGAGAGAGAGGGATAGCCTAGTTCAGTCCTTAGCCGTATTTAGACCTTCTCCCCTAGGATCTAGTCCTTAGCCGTTTTTAGAGTACTCCCCCTAGTATAAAGCCCCTAAACCTATCCCTGTGAGCTCATTCTTCACTGGTGAGTCTAGTTCACTCTCCAAAACCGGCGGCTCGCGCCGAGAGAGCGAGAGAGAGAGAGAGAGAGAGAGAGAGAGAGAGAGAGAGAGAGAGAGAGAGAGAGAGAGAGAGAGAGAGAGAGAGAGAGAGAGAGAGAGAGAGAGAGAGAGGGATAGCATAGTTCAGTCCTTAGCCGTATTTAGACCTTCTCCCCTAGGATCTAGTCCTTAGCCGTTTTTAGAGTACTCCCCCTAGTATAAAGCCCCTAAACCTATCCCTGTGAGCTCATTCTTCACTGGTGAGTCTAGTTCACTCTCCAAAACCGGCGGCTCGCGCCGGCCGCCTTCGGCGGCCGCCGCTCGCCGGCGCGGCCTGCGGCCGCGCGTGAGGTGCGGCAAGGAGATTCCAATGACATGATTCATAATAGCATTCGATACAACATGCAGTGGTAGGGGCCTACAGCAAAAGCAACACCCCCGGGCGTGCCTACACCGCCATGGGGAAGCCCAAGGCTAAACCCGCTGGGAAGGGGGAAAGCAGAGGGGACAAGCCGGCTACTCGGAGAGTATCCAGCACAGCCTCCCGTCCATCCAGCGTAGGACGGATGCGGCGGCTGACACAAGACCAAGAGGGGCCCCCTGCGCAGACTCAGCAAGCCGCAGCATTGCCCCAGGGCCGGGCCCGAGCGCAGCACCAGGGGCGCCCTGGACAAGCCCGATCAGGGGGAGATAATGCAGCATCTCCCTTGCGGCGGACACCGCCGCTGACTGCTCCGACGGCAATATCCCCCCAACCTCCACACCCTGCCGCGCCAGACACACATGGAGTTGGTCCAGCACGTAGGACAGCAACGTCAAACACGTCCCCACGTGCATCACGTGCTGCTCGACGTGGAAAGGAGTCGCTGCCACATGAGGATCCCGTGGAACGTGTGGGAATAACTGCACATCGGGAGGCGCCGGAGGAACAAGAGACGACGGGGGGCGAGGCGGCTGCGGCCGAGGCGGTAGGGGGAAGTGGCGCAATGGGGTCTGAGACAGAGGTGGCCGCGACGGTTGAGGATGCAGCTGCTGCGGGGCTGGAGGGGGTTGCTGCTGAGGCGACTGAGACGACGGCTGCTGGTGAGCCTGGCGGGCCTGACGCTGCCTCTGGCGGCGGCTCAGCCTCACCCTCTCCCATCCCCCAGGCACGGCAACTGGGGGAGACGGGACCACCAGTGGCTCAAGAACCGACCGTGGCGGTGGAGCTGACGGCGTCACCGGAGCCTGTAACGGCGTCTGCACCGGCTGCGGTGGCGACGGCGGCGACAGGGGAACAGGGCGGAGCACGGACCGAGGAGGATGCGCCGGTCGCCGGTGCGGACGCCGAAACTTCTGTAGCTGCCGAGGGCGCAAACACGCAGGGACACGACCTGGGGGGGAGCGGTAGACAGGGCCGCGGAGCTGTCGGGACTGCCGGCGCCGCCCGCGGGAAAATGGCGCCTCGAGCCCGGCCAGCACCGAGGCGGCCCGGAGCAGGGCCGGGACTTGGTCCCCCGGGACCCCTCCTGGGCTGGCTTCTGCAAGGGCAGTTGCCACAAGGGCAAGAGCGTCATTTGCCATCTGCGGGAACAAGTGACGGGAGAGGGGAAGCAACTGACGGGATCAGGCCCACACCCACACCGACCATAGTGACAGGGAACACGAGGGCGGACCCTGCAATGCAATAACCCCCGCGTCAAGAATTGCGGAACTCGACGGGCGGAGAGGAGGGAACGACCACGGCTGCCGCCACGGCTCAACAGACTCCTCGGCGTGAAACCCGCAGTGCCACGAGGGCGCAATGCATCACCTGGGGCCAGCCAAGGGCTGGCCAGGCAACGCCGATGGTGACACCGTGGATCCCGGCGGGAGCACCGCAACGGGCGGGCCGAGTCGAGCAGAACACCGGCCTTCGGGGGGGGGGAGAAATGGCCCGCAGAGCAAGGGGAGGAGTGCGAGGGGCCAGAAGGGGACTCAGCGGGAGAGGCCCAATTGTCGGCGGAAGGGCCGCGCTCGTGAGAACAGGAACGTGGCGGGAACGCCACGAGCGACCGGAGCAAGCGGAGCGTACACCGAATCAAAACGACGAAGCTGATGAAAACACCGATGAGGGGGGTGATTATGTAGCTCAGTCTGCGGAACCATCGGAGGAAATCTCGTTGGAGGAGGAGGAGGGAACACACATGACGAGAACAACTGGGGAGCGAAGGAGAACCCAGAACAATGGGGTAAACCCCCGGGGCGATAACCCACAGGGTGCGGGAATTGGGAACGAGGGAGCGCCAAGAGCAAGGGGGAACCCAAGTGTGGTGGGAGAAAATGGGGACGCAACCAACGAGGGACAGAGCGACTCTGGGGTCAGATCACCGTCTGACCTGGCAGAGGATTCTGCCATCTGGGAGCTGGCAGCCACGTGGGATAAATACCCACTCCAAAAAGGGGATCAACCCTTCTTGGTCCGCAGAATGCCGCCCAGGATCCTGGAAAGTTACTCGCTCTGTCTCCTGGCGCCCCTCATTTGACTCTCGAAGAATCCTGACTGCCCAGGTGCATGGGCGATCTTGCTGTATCTGCCGAGGCTGACGCTACGCCCGGCCTCCGAACCTGTTGAAGGCAGCCGGTGGACACAAATAGAGCTGCGCCTGCACCAGTTCCAACGCGGCAGCTGGCAGGCTCTGTACACCGACGCATGTGTTATCCCCGACAATGAAAACCCGACACGACACCAGCCGGATGACGCAGGTTTATGCGCGAGGGCGGAAGGATTGATACGAAAAGGAAACATTTCCAAGGCGGTAGCAGCGTTACGAACTACACCGCTCGCGAAAGCGACGGCAGAAACATTGACTGCACTTCAAGCGAAACACCCCGCGGCCGAAACCTCGCTACCAGGACCGGTTACCGGGTTCAACCGTTGGACCCTCAGTGTATCAACAGACGAACTTCGCGAAATCTTGAAGAAATGCCCGAACGGGGTTGGAGCCGGCCCATCTGGCACCTGTTTTGAACACCTCAAGGATCCGGCACTGGCAAACGGGGAGGTGCTTATTCTACTCGCTAAGGTGGTGACGTACCTGCTGAGCACGTTCCAAACACAAACGACCCGAGATCTGCTGCTGCCATCACGGTTGATCGCTCTAGAAAAACCAGGCGGTGGAGTCCGGCCTATTGCGATAGGGGAGGCCATCCTTCGAGTTGTAGCTAAGGCGGCACTGCGTGGTTTAACCGAGAACATTAAGGCCTTTTTCCTACCAGTCCAGTTTGGGGTAGCGATACCGGGTGGCGCGGAGTGTATCGTCCACTCCGTCAGATCGCTACTGAGAGACGATGACACACGAGTAGCACTGCAGCTGGACATAGAAAACGCCTTCAACAGTGTCGAACGGGCGGCTTTCTTCAACGCTCTCTCCCAGTCCAGTCTACTGCAGCTAATGCCTCTGGCCCGAACACTCTATGAGGCACCGTCGCCACTCTTGGTTGACGAGCGGTTCGGAGTGAACCAAATCCTCTCGTCACGCGGAGTGCGTCAAGGGGACCCGCTCGGTCCACTACTCTTCGCGGCAGCTATTCAGCCATGCCTGCTAAGTACGGCGACCCTCCTACCGGAAGTCGCGATAGTAGCCTACGCCGACGACATAACGATCGTGGGGCCAAAGGAGGCCTGCTATGAGGCCTTTGGGGCCATTACTAGGGAGCTGGCAACACTCGGCCTCTGCTGCAACATCGCGAAATCGTCGGCCTGGGGACAGTCGTTGGCGGAAGACGGCAGCACGCCACCTCCCATCGGCCTGCAGCAGACCACCGACGGGATCCGAGTCCTAGGCAGCCCAGTAGGCGTGCCCACCTTCTGCACCACCCAAGCACAAACACGGCTTGTTGAGGCGTCGGCCCCGCTGCCCCTGGTGGCGCAGCTCCACCCGCAGAGTGCAATGCTCATCCTCACGAGGAGCATATCCCGCCGAATGTCCTACTTCCTGCGGACGACACCGGCGGAAGTCCTGGGGAGAGATGAGTGGAGGAGCTGGAGTGAGAACCTGATGGCAACGGCTCTAGCAGCAGCGAAGCTCCGAGTACCCTCAGATGAGCTAGAGAGGAGTTTGTTATGGCGCCAGGGGAGTCTGCCGATCAGGCTGGGAGGCCTGGGGATTCTTGACCCAGTCTCCGAGGCACCTGCGGCCTACATTGCCTTGGTCACAGCGGCGCAGCAGCTGCTGAGCCAGATGAACTTGCCAGAAGCCTATCTCTTGAGCAGGGCGGTCGAGCTGCTCTGCCCTGATTGGACCCCAGCCCCGCCTAGCATCAACCCCCTGACAACTCTGGAGGCCGGGCTACCCCTAGCGGCACGGGCGGCACTGCACACTTACAGGGAGCAGCCGGCGGGACAGGGGAACCTTCAACTGACCCTGTCCCGCCACATCAACGAGACGAGAGCGGCGGAGCTGCTGGCCGACACAATAGAAGACCGCCCAGGGAAGGACCGTGGGCACGCATTGCGGCTCATCAACCTGCAAGGGGTAGGCGCGGGGGATTGGCTCCATGCCGTCCCAACGAGATCTGACCTTACTTTCGCCCCTGGTCAGTTCTCGTTGGCACTTGGCTTCCGCCTCGGAATGGCTCTGCCAGTCACAACCACCTGCCCGTGCAAGCGAGCCAACACTGCAATCACGGACACGAGCTTGGCAAACCACCTCTTACGGTGTGGGCAAGGAGGAGATGTAGTCCGCACACATGATGCTCTAGTGTTTACTCTGCTCCGGATGGCAAAGGAGGCCGACTTCACGGTTTTCCACGAAACCACCGCCTTTTCCCCACCGGTGCTGAGGAAGAGAGGAGACTTGGCTATTCGGGACAAGGAGTCAAATGAGACTTGGGTCACAGACGTGACAGTGACCGACCCAGTGCTGCAGTGCCGTGACAAGCGCGCCCGGAAGCCGCCTGGATGGGCGGCACGAGAAGCCTCAGAGAAGAAACACAGGCTCTATGAGGGGCGGCCTGACTACGTGGGTTTCTTCGGGTTGGCAGTGGAAACTTACGGTGCCCTGGCTACAGATACCCAACAGTTCATCCGCTTGCTAGCAACCTCGACGGCGAAAACCAGGTTCCGCCAGGGGAGGCTCACCACCACCACTGCTCGGCTCACCGCTCACTACAGGCAGCGCTTCAGCGTTATGCTCCAGCGCTCACAGGCCTCGTCATTCCTGAACAAGTCGAACATAGGGGACGTGGCAGCCTTCTCACAGGTTGCCAGGGACCCCTGGGAACCTAGCCTAGGGGATCTCTGGCAAGTCCTGGAGGATGAGATGGATGGGGTGATGGGTCAGTGAGCGGGATAGATACTGCATGGGGTCTGGCTAAGTGTTAGCCAAATGCTTCTCTGGCTCAGGCCTCTGTGGATTGCCTTGCCTTGCCTTGCTTGCCTGGCTCGGGTGGGCCTTGCTTTGTGGGCCTGTTCTGTGTGTTTTTCACCCCCTCACTTGCCCCCAAGTTCCTGACCCTCTGTCACAAAGGATTTGCTAGCCTGGCCACCCGTGGTGCCCACCTCGGCCTTGCCAAGCATTACCGGCTGCTCGCAGTACTAGGGATGTTCTGCACCTGTTCTTGCCATGCCTGTACCCCTATGAACCTATCAATGAAGGACTGCTTGAGAGAGAGAGAGAGAGAGAGAGAGAGAGAGAGAGAGAGAGAGAGAGAGAGAGAGAGAGAGAGAGAATCTGTGTGTGTGTGCGGGAGAGAGAGATGATATAACGATTGCAAATTCAGGTGTGACACCACGTTTAACGATTCAGTTGGCGGCTGAAAATTTTCCGCTCGTTCGAGAGAGCGAGAGAGAGAGAGAGAGAGAGAGAGAGAGAGAGAGAGAGAGAGAGAGAGAGAGAGAGAGAGAGAGAGAGAGAGAGAGAGGCATAGACCCCTAGTCCCTTAGCCTCTCAGCCTCTCAGCCGCCCCTAGCTCCGCTATATAAGGCCGTGGGCCTGGTGCTTGTCTCATTATTCATTTCGTGGGTTCATTCCTTCTAACCCAGCGGCTCGCGTCGGCCGCCTTCGGCGGCCGACGCTCGACAGCGCGGCCTTCGGCCGCGCGTGAGGGGACGGCAAGGAACACGAACACAACCGAGGTTAAGCAAACGGCATACAACCAATGGCGGCATCAACAACATCCTAAGCAGCAATGGCGACACAAGTAGAAGCGGAGCCCGCATCTACATGCGGTGAGCTCCAAGGGCGTGAAGAACGCCCGTCAGGGAGCGCCACAGCTCCCGGACCACAAGCGTGCTTGCGCCGATCGCCGCGGCTCCAGATCCAGCGCGCAAGTGCCGCCTCAGGCCCCGGACAGCTTCGTCGAGCTGTCCCGCAGCAGCAGCGCCTCCCTCCGCGGGCGCAGCCAGCACGGGCGCCAGCAGCACTGCGAGCTGGTCTGCCGCGTCCAAGCAAGGGTCACGCTGGCGAGAAAGGAAGGTCTCAGGAGGAATCACCGGAAGCGACGAATGAGCCAGCACCTGAATCAGCAGCAGAGCATGGAGGCTGTCAGCGAGGCGGTGCAGCTGTCCAAGAGTCGCCTCGGGAACACGGGTCTGCGGAGGCTGCAGTGCCTCCGCCAGGAACTGAAGCGGCTCATCAGCGCCGGCGAGGAGAGCAAACGGAGCCGATAGCGAGCCTCCGCCCGCGGCCACAAACTCCACACCAGCAACGGGTGGAAGCGGCGGCAGTTGCAGACGAGAACCAGGAACGGGCGCCGACGCGGCGGGAGCAAGCGCAGGCGACGACTGAATCGGAGGGGGAGGCGCAGCAACCGGGGGGAGCGCAGCCGGACGGGGAGCCTCGTGGACGGGCGCGGCGCGCAGCGAACTGCTCTGACTCTGCGCCGCCCTCTCCTCCCGAACCGCCCTCGACACTTCACGCTGAAGATCCGCCATCGTCACAGGCGGGCGCAACCCCCCATAGGCGCGGGGACCTCCCCATTCCCCCTGACCCCCGGGGTGAGCAGGCCAGCGGGGGTGTCGCTGGAACCGCCGCGGAGACTCACGGCGGCGACGAGAGGACCGGCGGTCCTGATGGGGAGCAGGGGAATGCGGGCGTGACGAACGACGGTCAGGCGACGGAGGACGTGACGGCTGGCCAGCAGGAACTACCGCCGTCGCAGCAGGGGCGGGCGGTCCCGACGCCGCGGGCGCAACCAACGGAGCCGGCTCGCCAGTGGTGGCGGACACCGCCTTCGGTGACGAAGCAGAAGCATGCGCAGGCGAGCAAGGGACAGAGGCGCTCAGCGCAACAGGGGCGCCAGGGACAGGCGCAGGGGGGTCAGCAACAACCCCAACAGGGGCAGACGTCGACGGCGCGACAAGGGGAACCAGGGGGTCATGTGCTGCAGACTGGGCAACGGGATCCGCGGGTGCGTGGGGAGGAAGCTTTTCAACGGCTGCTGTCACGAGGGTCGGAGCCGGCGGTAGAGGGGGTTTCATCGCCGTGGTCGCCCTTCCGGCCTCCGCCGGAGGCGTCGCGGCCACAGCCGACCAGGCGGCAACGAGCTCTGGCGACGGCTCAGGCGCACCGGCAATCACCATCCCTGGAGCAGGAAAACCGCAGGGCGAGAAGACAAACCGTAAGCGGAACAGGCGGAGGGCCGGAGAACGGGTATCAGGCGGCGGCACGAAGGGCTTTAAGTAACGCGGAGAAAAATAATGAAGAAGACGAGCGGGACGACCCCACTTATATGGAAGAAGCACTCCCCGAGAGCGAGGAGGAGGAGACGGAGGGGGAAGGCATGGCGAGAGAAGGACCAAGGAGAAGGGAAGAGGTAGTGCAGCAACCAGTGGTGCAAGTGTCACAGATGGGTTTGCCGCCATCCGACGCCGATCGGACGGGTGTGAATCCAACCTCAAACCCACCAATGAGAGCGAGCCGCGATGGGAGAAATCGAGCCGCCAATGCCAGTCCGGCACTGCACCTACAGGCGTCAATTCCCCGCTACTTTTCACCCGATGAGCTAGCGAAGCGGACAGACCTGTTCGCGGCCATCGCGAACTGGGACTTGGCAGGACTATGCGATAGTCGTCAGCCCCCACTTTCGCGGCGTTTACCGCCAAATCTGTGCCAGCTGTTTTCGCTAGCGCTACTGACACCGTTACACCACCTATCACGAAACCCCGATTCGGAAACGGGATGGCGACTGCTGTTGTTTCTCCCGCGACTAACACTTCGCCAAACCTCGCCTGCACGCCCAAACTGGCCATGCGTCAAGAGTCGGCTCCGAGCCTTCCAGCGTGGCGAATGGGATCAGCTGTACCAAGACGCGTTGACCGCAGTCAACACACCGCCCCCGCCAAGACATCAGCCAGATGCGACTGGTGTCATCAGCCGCGCAGAGAGCCTAGCAAAACGTGGGAGTCTGCGCCGAGCCGTGTTGGCCCTCGAGTCAACGCCCGTCTGCACGCCCAGTCCGGAAATATTGGAGGAGCTGCGACAGAAGCACCCACGTGCTGAAGACGAGGCAGTGACGTGGCCCGAAACACAGGGGTCAAAATTGTCAATCCCCCACGCTGACTTCGCTAAAATGTTGGCGAGGTGCGAGAATGGGGTTGGTGCCGGACTTTCAGGGATGACGTTCGAGCACCTACGCGATGCGGCGATCACGAACGGAATGGTCAGCACCCATCTCCACGCCTTGGTCAACACTGTGTTGGGAGGCAAATTGCCAGGCCCGGTAGCGAACCTGCTGACGGCATCACGACTCATCGCCCTCGCCAAGCCGGGGGGGAGGGGCTAGGCCTATCGCCATCGGCGAATGCCTAACCAGGCTGGCAGCCAAGGCTGCCCTGTTAATCATGGGAGACCCGGTCCGCGAATTTTTCTTACCCCTACAGTACGGGGTAGCAGTTCCAGGTGGGGCGGAGGCAGTAATCCACGCAGCCAGGGCTTTTTCGGATGCCCGCCCGGACAGCCTGGTACTACAAGCCGACATTACAAACGCGTTCAACAGCATTTCGCGTTCCGCCATCGCCGACGCGTTACAAGAGCCCACCCTCTCGCCACTGCTGCCGCTCGTGCAACTGACATACGGTAACCCGTCGCAGCTACTACTGGACTCCAATTTCAACAGCGCACCACTGACAAGCGAACGCGGCGTACGCCAGGGAGACCCACTGGGGCCACTTCTATTTGCAGCAGGGATACACGCTACACTCCGAGAAACTGCTGAAGCACACCCGGACGTGCTGTGCCTGGCATATGCTGACGATGTCACCTTCCTGGGTGACACAGACCGCACTGTAGCTGCATTCACATGCTTCACGACAAAATTGGCGCGCCTGGGCCTCGAACACAACCCACAGAAGTGTAGTGCCTGGAGCTCCTGCGCAATTGACACATCCTGCCTTCCGCCAGGAGTGCCGTTCTCTAAAGGTGGCATGAAACTACTGGGTAGCTTCGTGGGGCCAGACAGCGGCGCAGCTCGGTTCCTGGCGGGTCAGCTCGCCGAGATGGCGAAACCCTTACCCCTGCTCGAGCGAACGGACCCCCAGGTCGCAGCGCTGCTACTTACGCGATGCATATCGCGACGAGTTGCATATCTCACCAGGACGACCCCACTGCACCTTCTCCCTCGTGACACATGGAGCCAGTGGGGTAGGGATCTGCTCGCCACGCTCCTCACAGCTTGCGATATCCGTGTTCCCACGTGTCGAACCGAACAGTCACGGGTCTGGGAGCAAGCATCACTGCCGCCATCCTTGGGAGGGCTGGGCATCACCGACCCCCTAGTCGAAGGGATCTATGGTTTCGCAGCCAGTTTTACGCAGGCGGCATTGTACCTCGGGTGTTTACCGCTGGAAGAAGATACCGCCCTCACCCTGGCACGGAATCATATGCTACTGCCACGGGCTGACAGCACACCGCTACACGAATGGCTGAAGGAGTGTGAGGAGGCACTGCCGCAGGATGCACGGGAGATACTCGAGACGGAGCGGCTCAAACGTTCCGACATCCGGCTCCAACACGTGCTTGGACTCAAGGTCCACGGAAGCAGATACGCAAAGCAGGTGCAGGCGACGAGGCGCATGAAGCCGAATCCGCTTGCGGGGCACACACAGAGGATGTTTTCAATGACGGGCTACGGCACAGGCGACTGGCTCACCGCGATCCCCATTGCCCCTGCTAGGCGGATAGGGCCGGTACACTTCGCAAATGCGGTTCGTTTCCGACTCGGCCTACCGTTTTCGACCCCCAAAAACTGTGACTGCGCTGACCACACGGCTATCACAGACCCCCGCCTTCCGAACCACCTGCTCCGCTGCGGCACAGGCAAGCACCGCACGAACACGCACAACGAGCTAAGGGATGCCTGCGTCAGCATGGCGCAAGACGCAGGGTTTATAGTGCACAGAGAGTCGGCCGCCTACTGCCCCATCGAGGAGCAAACCGCCGACTTCACTATGACCGACAGAAGCAGTGGGGCGGTTTACATCTGCGATGTAACCATCACTGACCCCATCAGCACCAGGGACCCAGAGGCACAGAAGGGCAGGGGGTGGGCGGCGCGTGAGCAAGCGGACAAGAAAATAAAACATTACGCCAACCGCCCAGAGACGATAGGCTTCTTCCCACTGGCGGTAGACACCTACGGCTGCCCATGTGCCGAGGTCCCGGTCTTCCTCAAGCTCCTGGCAGACACAGCGGCTCGGCGCCACTTCAACGCCGACTCAAAATCCTTCTATGCCGCCAAGTTTCTGCATCAATTCAGACAGAGGTGGTCTGTGGCCCTCCAGAGGGCTCAGTCAGTGGGACTCTTGATCAAATTGGGGGAGGCTGCAGCAGCTGAGAACCCACCTGTTGGAGGCATAGGGCAGGAGATGCACCTTGGGGACTGCTTTGCGGTGGTCGAGCCTTTGCTGGAGCTCTAGAGTGTGTGACGGTGTGGTAGTTGTGTGACTGGTTGGCTTTGTTTGTTGGTTACCTAGGCCCTTATACCGTGCATGCTTGTACTTTCCTGCTATATCAATACAAGGACCATTAGAGAGAGAGAGAGAGAGAGAGAGAGAGAGAGAGAGAGAGAGAGAGAGAGAGAGAGAGAGAGAGAGAGAGAGAGAGAGGCACTAGGCCCTTTCCACTGTCTCTCCAAACTCTCTAGCTTAGCTTAGCCTTAGCATAGCATAGATTTAAGGCTTTCTTAGCCTCCTGTCCCTAGTGTATTCCCTGCAGCAAGCCTATAAGGAGTACGTGAGCACATATAGCCTCCCCTACTGCTTCATTCCCGCCATTATTCTCTGGTGAGCTTGGTTCCTCCCAACCCAGCCGCTCGCGCCGGCCGCCTTCGGCGGCCGACGCTCGACGGCGCGGCCTTCGGCCGCGCGTGAGGGGAGGCAAGTACAAGGGGACAAGAGCAACGTTAAACAATGGCATACACTACAAAAGGGCTCAACTAAGGCTGCCCAGAGTCACACAACAGGCAAGCCCCCAGGCATGGGGAGGAAAAAGCCCACAACCAAGGTGACAAAGGCGAAGCCGCCTAAACCTGACGCACCCGCTGCTCAAGCCAGCGGAGCAAGGACGAGATCGCAGGGACCACCTCCAAAGGCGCCGACTCAGCAGCCTTGGCTACCCTCCGGAAGGCCGCGGCGCCAGGACCTTCGTCCAGTACAGATTCCACAGGCTCCAGCGGCAAACGCAACACCTCCCACAGTGCGCCAGCCACCGCCGCGCGCACGTGCGCTAGCTGCAGCTCGCCAAATTCTGGATCACGCTGGACAATCTCCCGCGTCTGAAGAGCATGATGGAGCTGCTCCAACACAGCAGCCACGCCAGCCACACAACGGCAAAATTGCAACAGCCGCGAATCGGGGGTGGGATACGGCACCTCAGCAGGAGGGGCGCACCAGGGAGGGCCCCAACCACCATCACGCGGCGACGGGACCATGACACCCCCCGGGGATCAGCAGGCGGACCAGGATGCGCCGGTGGCGATAAACGGGGAGGAGGAGGAGGGGGGAGGGGAGAAGGTACCGGCGGCGGCGGCGGCAGAGACTGAGGCCCCACAGGGCGGGGGGTGGCGGCGGCACCACAGGAGGATGCAAGGGCGGCTGAGATTGAGGGAGGGCAGACGGAGGACATAGGGAGGCCTGCGCCGGCTGAGAAGGAGGCCCCTGAGGCGGAGGAACCGGTGGGTGGGGAACCGGCGGCAGAGACGGCTGCTGAGCCGCAGGAGGCGGCTGAATCTGCGGAGGATGAGAGGTTAGCGGCGGCAGAGAAGGACTCGGCTGACACTGAGAGACCTGCAGCGGGGCCTGCGGCGTCTTAAGCGCTAGAAGAGAGGCCCACGTCGGCGGCGGCGGCGGCGACAGCAAGCAACTCGGGCTGGAAGACGCAGATGGCGCCACAAGCTCAGCCCCGGGCGGCGCCACCAATGGAGAGGACAACAGTGCCGCCGGCGCAGACAAAGGCTGCTGCTGTGACGAAGAAGAAGAAGCCAGCGACGGCAACGATCGAGGCGGCAGGGGCTGCGTCGATGGTTGCGATTGAGGCGCCAGTGGCACCTGTGACCGTGGGGCCTGAACCAAGGATCGCGCGGACTGCGGGGCAAGCAACAGAGATGGCCGGGGAGGGCGGCGGTGGCGAAAGGATTGACCCCGGGCCCTTAGATGCGGATGAGTCCGCCCGCGGGGAGACCGATAAATCGGCCCACGAGGCGCAGACGAACCGACGCGCGCCTGAGAAGAACCGCCGCCAGAAGCCGCGGCCGCAACAACATCAGCGGCGGCTCGGAGAAGGGCTGGCACCCGCCCGACCTGGGCCCCTTGTGGGTTGGACGCATCAGGCGGATCCGCCCCAGGCAGTTGCTGAGGTGGAGGGCGGCGCCGACCAGTCATCACCGCTGGAGATCGCGGGAGAAGAGGCGGAGGCGCAGGAGGAGAGGGAGAGCGCCGCCGAAGAGGCAGAGGAGAGGAGGGCCGCGGCGAGACGCGGCTGCCACCAAGGGGGAACGAACCGGCAGCAGGCCCTGCGGGAGCAGGCCAACCGGAGAGCTGAAGGTCGACCGCCGGAAACCGTGACGCCTGGAGCGGCAGCGCGAGGAGCGCGAGGGAGGGGTCGAGGCAGGGGAGGAGGCCTGGGAAACTTGGTACGAGCGGTAGCAAGGGAAAAGGCCAGATCGGGGGACTGGCGGGAAAGACACGGAAGGCCTCTGCGGACTGGCACAAGACAGAACGCAAACTCAATGAGGGAAGAGGATGAAGGAAGTGACGGGGAATATATCGAATCGGAGGAGAGGGATTCTGAAGATATCTCCCTCGACGAAGAGGAGGGGATCCCGAACACAGGTGCAAACCAGGGACAGAGGAGGCCGCGTGGCCCACTACCAGCCCAGGGGGCCGAATCAAGTGCACAGGCTAGCACGAGGGCAGCAAATAGAGAGCGCTCAGCAGCAGATATCGCGGATGACGAGGCCACGTGGCAGAAGGTGAAGGAGTGGGACCTGTCACCTCTACGCAACAGTGCCCAGCCCTTCCTAGCTCGGAAGCTTCCCCCCAACATTCTCGGAATCTACAGCTACTGCCTCACGATTCCCCTGCTGCGGCTTTCCAAGAACCCGACCTGCCAAGGAGCCTGGCGAATGTTGCTATTCCTGCCCCGACTTACACTGAGAGCTAACATTGGGAACGCACCTGGAAACAGGTGGAGCGAGGTGGCGACAAGGCTGGACCAGTTCAAGTTGGAAAAATGGGACATACTGTACTCCCAGGCCTGCACCATACCCCAGAATTCCCAACCGAGTCGTCACCAGCCGGACCCAGAGGGCATCTGCGCGAGGGCAGAGGGGCTCGTGCGCAAGGCGAATCTCGCAAAAGCAGCAGCAGCGTTACAAACTTCGCCACTCGCAGAACCATCAAATGCGACCCTGGAAGCACTAAAAGCAAAGCACCCTGGGGCAGGGAGCGAAACCTCGAACTGGGTAACAGGGTTCGCCTCCAGCAACCTCACAACGTCAGTAGAGACATTTCGCGAAGTACTCGCGAAATGCCCCAATGGAATTGGAGCGGGACCCTCAGGCACCTGCTTCGAGCACCTCCGAGACCCCGCGCTCACCAACAATGAAGTTTGCTCTTACCTGCACGGCGTCTTCAACCACGTCCTTAGCACCCACCTGCCAGCGGAACTGACGCAGCTCTTGCTACCATCCAGACTAGTAGCCCTGGAGAAACCGGGCGGCGGTGTCAGACCCATAGCCATAGGAGAAGCGATACTACGACTCACAGCCAAGGCAGCGCTTAGGGAACTAAGCACGCCCATCCGAGAATACTTCCTCCCGGTACAATTCGAAGTGGCAGTACCTGGAGGCGCCGAATGTATTATTCACACGGTGCGGGCACTCTTAGATGAGGATCCGAAGCAAGTGGCGCTGCAGTTAGATATCGAAAACGCCTTTAACTCAGTTGAACGCGCCGGTTTTTTCGAATCACTGCATTTCTCTGGACTCAGCCGCGTCATACCACTAGTGCGTACGCTGTACGGCACACCCTCTTGCCTACTACTGGATCACGGCTTCGCGGAGCCACACATCGAGAGCGCGCGCGGGGTCCGTCAGGGAGACCCACTAGGCCCCATGCTCTTCGCGGCAGCTATTCAACCGGCGCTCCAGGTGGCGTCTGACATTTTCCCTACGGTCACGGTCATGGCCTACGCAGATGACATTACAATCGTGGGGACGGCGCAGGAAGCGGCACTCACCTTGGGGATCATCACCAGGCAACTCGCCGGCCGCGGCCTCAAATGCAACCTCGCGAAATCATCTGCCTGGAGCCCATCAGGCATACCGGACGACCTTCCTGACGGCATGGTAGCAGCAGTAGACGGCATACGCGTCTTGGGGAGCCCCATAGGAACAAACGAATACGGAAGGCACATGATCACAGCTTCCCTAGACGCGGTGGCAGCCCCCCTCGACCTTATCAGCAGCATCCACCCGCAGCACGCCCTACTGTTACTGTCACGCTGCGTATCCAGGCGCATCTCATACCTGCTTCGTACAACACTGGCAGACATGCTGCCCCTAGAAGAATGGCGGGAGTGGAGCGAAGGAGTGGTGTGGACGGCGCTCAAAGCGGCACACCTGCACGTGCCGAGGAAGGAGATCAAACAGAGCCTGGTGTGGAGGCAGGCGACCCTTCCAGTGTGCCTCGGCGGGCTGGGCCTCATAGATCCGGTCTCGGAAGCACCCGCGGCCTACCTGGCATCCCTATGCGCGGCCCACACCCTACTGAGTGGCCTCCCTGAGCACCCAGACCACCCCCTGCGGCGGGCTGCAAACATGGTATCTATAGAACACATCGAGGTGTCGGCACGAGGAGGGGAGACCCTGCAGGACCTTAAAAGCAAGTTACCATAAAAAGGCACTGGAACTCCTACATGAGCACCACCGTCAGAGGGGGGGGGAAAGGGCGGCTGCAGTTGGGGCTATCCCGCGAGGTTAACTTGGACAGGGCAGCGGAGCTGATAGGAGACACACGGGTAGACAAGCCGGGCGAGGACAACGGGCACGTGGTGCGGCTCATAGCCTTGCAGGCGCCAGGGGCAGGAGACTAGCTGCATGCCATACCCACACGAGTGGACCTCACCTTCTCGCCCGACCCAGTGCTGCAGAGGCGGGACACCCAAGGGAGAAAGGCGCCAGGGTGGGCAGCAGAGGACGCTGCCAGGATCAAAAGGGGGCTGTATGAGGAGCGCCCCGAGTTTGCGGGGGTCCTAGGCCTAGCTGTGGAAACCTACGGGGGACTAGCAAGAGACACACAGAAATTCTTCCGCAATTTAGGCACGAGTGCGGCCAAGAAGAAGCACCGCCAAGGGAGGCTCACCACGGTGGCCTCCAGGCTGACGGTGCACTACCGACAACGGTGGTCAGTAATGCTGCAGCGCTGCCAAGCCAACGCCATGCTGGCAAAGTCCAACAGGGCGGCGGAGGCAGCATACCCCCAGGCTTGCGTTGACCCTTGGGAGCCAGGCCTGGGGGACATATGGCAGGTCCTGGAAGATGAGGTGGAGGAAGTGTAGGACCTGGGAGTCTAGAAGGCTGGAGAGAAGGAGCCGGGGCAAGACCAAGGCCGCCTGAGCCACCACGGGGGCCTAGTGATAGGTGCTTGCATGCCTAGGCGGCCATGTACCAAGGAAGGTGGGAATAGTACAAGCAATACATGCCAGGATTGCCTATGCTTCTAGGGCAGCATGGTTGCCAAACTACTCATGCCAGGCTTGTATCCTATGACCATTATCAATACAGGACTGCTTGAGAGAGAGAGAGAGAGAGAGAGAGAGAGAGAGAGAGAGAGAGAGAGAGATAGAGAGAGAGAGAGAGAGAGAGAGAGAGAGAGAGAGAGAGAGAGAGAGACCCACTGGCACCGGACACCACCGCGCCGCCCCCACAAACCCGCCAATTCTCGCCTGAGCAATTGGCGAGGGACGACGCGCGGTTCGACGAAATTGGAAATTGGGATCTGTCCCCCCTACGCGACAGTCGTCAGCCCCCGCTGTCGCGAAAACTACCCGCTGACATTCGCCCCCTTTTCGCATCGGCCCTTCTGACACCACTGCTCCGCCTCGCGCGTTACCCTGACTCAGTCGCAAGATGGCGTCTGTTACTCTTTCTCCCGCGCCTAACACTACGCCTGCCCTCAACGGAGAAGCCCGATTGGCCGGCTGTGAAGCAGCGACTGCGCCAATTTCTCAAGGGCGAATGGACGCAGCTCTACGATTCCGCAGCAGCCGCGATCAATGGGCCACAACCGCCACGTCACACACCCGACGACCAGGGCAGGCGCGCTAGAGCAGAGGGCCTCACATGCAAGGGAAGCCTACGAAGAGCAATCCTTGCCCTCGAGTCAACTCCGGTCGCTGACCCATCAGCTGACACGCTAGCAGCCCTCAAAGCCAAGCACCCCCGAGCGCCAGCTGGTCTCATCGATTGGACCATCCCCGGTACAGAGCAGCCCGCCTCCATCGACATGGGCGCATTCGTAAAATATTGTGCCGGTGTGAAAATGGAGTGGGAGGCGGACCTTCGGGAATGACCTTTGAGCACATGAGGGACGCTGCCATCGCAAACAGTGGGGTTACCACACACCTACACGCGCTCGTCAACACAATCCTAAAGGGCAATCTCCCAGACGAGATCTGCTCGCTCCTTACCGCCTCGCGCCTCATCGCCTTAGCTAAGCCTGGGGGAGGCACTCGCCCCATCGCAGTAGGCGAGTGCATCTTACGCATCGCCGCGAAATCTGCACTCGCGTCGTTATCGGAAGCATGCCGGGCCCACTTCCTCCCACTCCAGTACTGCGTATCGGTCCAGGGCGGCAGTGAGGCAATCATTCACGCCGCAAGGACCTTCACACATGCGAATCCAGGGGCGCTGATTCTACAGACGGATTTAGCGAACGCCTTCAACTCCATTAGCCGCGCAGCAATAGTAGACGCACTACAAGGCTCGGCGCTGCAGGGCATTATCCCGCTCACCAGGATATCGTACGGCAAACCGGCCCAGCTTTTCCTAGATGCTGGGTTTGAATGCGAGCCGCTCATCAGCGAGACCGGTGTGCGTCAAGGGGATCCGCTTGGCCCGCTACTCTTCGCCGCCGGGATTCACCCCGCCCTTACCAAAACCGCAGCGGCCTTCCCCTCCGTGATGTGCCTGGCCTTTGCTGACGACGTTACATTCTTGGGCGAGCCGCTGGAATGTTCAAAGGCCTTCTGCCACTTCATAGAGGGCCTGCGCGACGTGGGGTTGCGTCACAACCCAGAGAAATGCGCAGCGTGGAGTGCAGCGGCGGTCGATCCTCAGGTGCTGCCGCAGGGGGTCCCATTTTGTGAGGAGGGCCTGCGGGTGTTGGGGAGTTTCATCGGATCTCAGGAAGGTGCAGCGGCTTTCCTACGCTCGCAACTCGAATCCATGTCTACCCCACTGCCGCACCTCTCAAAAATGGACCCCCAAGTAACCTCACTGCTACTGACGCGGTGCATCTCCAGGCGCATATCCTACCTCGCACGCACAACCCCGCTCTACCTATTACCCGAAGCAGAATGGACCAGGTGGGGCCGGGCCCTGCTACACGCCCTACTTGACGCGTGTGGGGTGCGCCACCCACGGGGAGAGTTGGAGGCCGCGCGGATATGGGACCAGGCATCACTACCGCCAAGCCTAGGAGGGCTAGGCCTCGCAGACCCAGTGGTAGAGGGTCGGTACAGCTTCCTGGCCAGCCTAGTACAAGCGCACTCCCTCCTCAGCCCCCTCCCAGGCCCGGCGGGGTCTCACCTCACGGCAGCACTACACAGCATTGAAGCGGCGAACACGAGCCCGAATGAACTGCAGAGGTGGATCAACGACTGCAGAGAGAGTCTAACACAGGAAGCAAGGGACCTGATCGCCTCCGAGCTTGCCAAACCCGCAGGCCAGCTCCAACACCGACTAGCACTCATAGTCCAAGGCAGTAGGAGTGCCGCACAGATCACTGCCTCTAGACAACTGGAGCTGAACCCCCGGGCGGGCCACACGCAGCGCCTCATCTCACTCACGGGCTACGGGGCAGGGGACTGGCTACTCGCCATCCCCTACATGCCCGCCCTGCGGCTCTGCCCCGAACACTTCACCTTCGCCCTCCAGTTCC